CCTGCATAAACTCTCAGACAGGTACAAAAGACTATCTCTTGGGACACCACAGGGTTGTACTGCGATTCAGAGGGACCTTGACAGGCTGGAGAAGTGCACAGACAGGAATCTCAAAGTTCAACAAATGAAAATATACCATTCTGCCCTTGAGGAGGAATAACCACATGTACCACTACAGGCTGTGGGCCAACCGGTTGGAGAGCAGCTTTGCAGAGAAGGACCTGGGTGTCTTGGTGGACACCAAGTTGGAAATAAGCCAGCAATGCACCTTTGTAACAAAGAAGATAGACGGCATCCTGAGCTGCATTAGGAAAAGCACAGTTAGCAGGTCAAGGAAGATGATCCCTTCTACTCAGCACTGGGGAGACCATACCTGGAGTACTGTTCTCTTTAGCTCTGGGCTGCCGAGCAGAAGACGTGGTCATACTTGAACGAGTCCAGCAAAGGGCCACTAACACAATTAAGCATTTCATATAATCACAGAATGGCTGAGGTTGGATGGGACCTCTAGAGATTGTCTAGTCCAAGCTCTCTGCTCAAAGCAGGTTCGAATGCTTAGGCAAGTTCTGAGCATCTCCATGGACGGAAGCTCTACAACCCGTTTGGGCAACCTGTTCTGATATCTGACAACTCTCACAGTAAAAAGTGAGAGTAAAAGTTTTTCATATATTTAATTAGAGTTTGCTGTATTTCAATTTGTGGTTGCTGCGCCTCTTGTCTTTCCTCTAGATAGCACTGAAAAGAGCCTAGCTGTCTTCTTTGTAAATACCTGATGGCAGGGACAAATCGTAGATAAGATTCCCCAGCTTTCTCAGCCTTTCCTTGTATATAACATCCTCCTTAATCCTCAATTAAGGGACTGGCCTGGGGGGGCGGGTAGAGGTGGGATGAGGTTTGGACAAAATAAACTCCAGAGGTCCCCTCTAACTTCAACTATCCTGTGATCCTATAACAAGTGGTTACTTACAGACATGGCATCAAGAACAGCCATTAGGTTTTATTCTTCAAGCAAGATAAATATTTATTTCTGCACAAGCACCTAAAAATAAACAAGGATTGAACCTGATAAAGACCAGTATCAACTCCATCAGTTCACCAATCCAAACAGGAATCTGGATGTTTCTGTACATAGCCACTCAAAGTAAGATGCAAAACTCCCTTCTTGAACACTGTACTGTCTGCCCCCTTATCTGCTCCAGGAACTTCCACCATCTATACTGATTGGATCAACATCCCGTGACAAAAAGCACTTTAAGCTGTCCAAGCAAATAGCCAAAGATTAACAACCTATGGAGTAGCATACAAGTTGCTAGAAACTGCTAGAGAGTTAAGACAGACATGGCACATTGATAAATATTTTGTTTCTTTATAGGCCTGAGGTTTAACCTGAATCATCTATTCCTAGCTCTGGAAAAAAAAAAAATATACTAAAGCTTCTTCCGCTGTGCGTTAAGAGTGGTAACATCTTTCTGCTGTTCAAAGTTGCCGAAGAAGCTTCCAATCTTACACTCTCTGAACACAGATTGGGAAACTCTTCAGAACTAGAAAGAAGGCTGCAACTGAACGCAATGAATGAGTTCAAGAGTCTAGCCCTTAGAAGTAAAACTTTGAAAAAGCATTGCCCCCAGTTTTCAAAGGAAGGATGTTGGCTCTGAAGGAGCAAACTGACCAGTGAAAGACATAGAAAGGAAGGATCAGTGCCTGTTTTCCTGGAGACCCTATAGAGGTTTACTCCCCAATAAGGATCTCACCATGGAAGCTATAACCACACATGCACTATTCCAGGCTTGGTGCTAAATTTGAGGCTAAATATCTCTTTGGTATGTTTTTCGAGAATGACTTGAAAACAGCACTTGTAAATAGATGAGGTGTGTTAAGTTAATATGAAGGACATCTGGTATGCTAATGCAGATAAACAGAACTGTGTTAAAACAGACAAGTTTTAAAACCTGAAATCTTATGCATAATGAATGCATACATAATACAGTACTGCCAAGACAAAAAAGAAAGGATAACAAGGGAAAAGAGGAAGCAGAAACTAAAGAGCTAGGACTATGCATTTGTGATTAGTAAGAAAGCCTGCAGAAAGCACTAGGAAAAACAGCAAATGTGTTAGAGAAAATGGGGATGGAATAGAGCAGTCACTTAAGGAAAAATATGTAAGGCAACTGCAGTTTCCCACAACATTCTCAAAATTGCTAATGTCTTCCAATATTAAGTGTTTCTACAGGAAACCTTCTTAACAGAATTTTTTCAGAGAAACCTGTTCACTGTAAAAAACCCATGGGTTTATTTGATTATGTGCTGTAATAGCAAGATTTATAGGAAATTGCTGCACCATGCACAATGCAGCTATCAACTGGAAAAAATGCTGAGGTGCAGAAACATGAAGCTACAAAAATTTTAAAAATTACTCATTCCCTATATACAAGTAATTTAGTAACTCAAATTCCAACACAAAATCTTTGTGATCAAAAAGATTAATTGTATTATAATTACAATTACTTAATTGTACAAAGACGGTACAATTGATACCTGTACTACAGTAATGCTCAGTCTGCCTACTGTACCCATTGGTCCTCCATACTGTAGCTGCTGAGCTGCCTGGGCATCCAGCTGGATTTGCTGTTGCTGCTGTGTTGGGGTAATGCGAAGAAAATCTTGAGGAAGCTCACCAACGTATACCTTAAAAAAGAAAAGAAAAAGAAGAAACCATCAAACTTAAGTCTTCCTCTTTCACAATGAAAAAGGGAGAAGAATATAAATCAAAGGAAAGCTTAGCAAAAACATTCGGCAGAATTTAGTCTAGTTTTGAAAGCGTGAACAAAGAACTAATTAAATGACAAAACTGCCAACTCATGTGGAGAATGTTCTCACACTCACTTTCAAAAACACTAATTTCCAACATAAGCCTCTGACAAAAAGTAGGACACACAGATCCAAGGCTGCTCTGCAACGAAACATTTAAGTAGTCCACACAAAAGTCAGAGCTACTGAGTTTTACATCCCATTCACATGACAGCTCGTTCTCTTATTCATCACCCATGTTGCACCCAATCATTCCTGTGACAAGACATAGCACCCTGCTTTCATTTGAAAGGGTCACTTTCAGTCACCTTCAAGACAGATCATATAGACAATGTTTCCTATGAACCAAAGTCTGTAACATAACTAAGAATCCTTCAGTATTACTTAATGCTTTTCCAATGTTAAACACGGCTGGCCTGCAACTAACTTTGGGGACAATTCAGGGACAAAATCCCACCATACTCAAAACAGTAATGGAGAAATTCAAAATCTGCTCTATCACAAGAAAGAACCATAACGACAAATTCAAAGTAGAAAAACCTTAGAGGAACTCTGTCACGTGTGTCAATATGAATCAGCAGTCACCGTGTATTTTCTGTTAGCTTTACAGTAAAAGAAGGGAAAGTTTCTACCTATTATTTGTCAGTTCTATTACTGTCAATTCAATAACTCAAGTTGTTTCTAGGTTTTAAATGCTCAGTCAACATTATCAATAACACATTTAGAGAGATCATCACATTAAAATAACAGGCATACTATAACAATACATTTTAAAAGGCAAATAAAGTGGCATAAAAAAATTTATAATCAAGCTGTACTCATTTCTGTTGTCTACAGAGTTGCTTACATATTTAATACAGAACTGTCCACCACATCAAGACAAAAGAGTGCAATTTCTTATGTTGCTATCCCAGGCAAGATTACTTCATTGTATAGCTGGCAGATGCCTGCCTACAGAACATACTTTGAGAAGTTAACAGGCCTCTAGGACATAGCTTTTGAAGATCAGACAGTACTTGCATGCCAAGATTGCATCTTAGAGATAGCAATACTCATACAAAATGTGACTTGGCAAGAGCTGCAATTTCTGCCCGAGAGCCTCAGGATCCTGGCAACAGTAGGTGTTACATGCCAGAAAGGAAGTTTATAAAAAAGCTAAGGAGGAATTACTGAATGCCTGCTGCTAGGCTCTTGGGAGGGAGGGAAAAGAGGGAACCAGTTTTGCTTACAAGCATCTCAAAATTTTACAACTAAGATCCTAAGTAGCTTAAGCTTTAAGAAGTGGGGCAGAGAGGGAGAAGACTAAGCTAAAAGATAGTGCTAATATTAAAAGAAAGCTTATTTAAGTTAGGCTGGAAATTAGACAGGGTCTTGTAACAGCCTTCTCATTAGAATACATGTTATAAAAATGAGTTAGTTTTAAAATAAAACATAATCCATTTAGGAAAGATTTGAAACGGCACCAGAATTAGCAAGGCAATGTCATTTACAACACAGCAGGTCCCCTCCAACCCTTGACCTCCAGGAAGTTTCAAATCTGGTATTATTAGCATCTCCAAGAATAGACATCAAAGATTTCCCATAGTCAGAATTGGTGGCTGCAGCCCTGAAATTACATTGCCACATATGCAAGCTCCCTCTGTCAACTTCTCAGAAAAAAGGGTAGCATATTTTCTCTCAACCATCTTAACATGGACATTGGAAAGCTTAATTCATTCACAACAAGTGAGAAGAATAATAATAATATTTCACTTTTTAAATTTAATTTTATTTAAGTCACCCAAATACTGCTCCAAAATAAAATATATAAACTAGTCTCCATACCGAGGTCCAAAAGGGACAAACAAAATCTGTACGGGAGACCAAAGTTTTCTTACAACATCTAAGCTGATTTTAAGTCATTCAGTTATCTCACACAAAACTACATTCTTATCCTGGAATTGCAGAGCAGACATACACAGAAACTGAAAACAGCCAGTGAAACTAAATTCTCAGAAGATCCAACTGGTAAACGCCTCCAAAAGGATGAGTAGGGAACAGGAGATGCATATGCTCCCACCTTAAACGTTCTGCTCTGACTGAGACCTGGTACACAAGTCCTGGTGATATATTCAGTAAAATATCTAGGAGAGGTACTTTTTGAGAAAAATACACTACTCGGTAAATTCTTATGCTAATTATTGGTTGATTCCATATTGATAAGAGATAAAACAGTAGTGTGCAATCTTTTTATCTGTACAGAAAACAAGCTAATGTATGTTTTCCTCAAAGCATTTAAAAGCAGGCACATAATTGCCACCTCCAAACCTGAATCAAAAATACCAAGTTACATAACCAGAGTTCAACCACAGTTTTTGTTTTTAAAGCAAGGAGAACATAAGTGACAAGCTTGTATCACTGATCCTACTCAACACCCACTTTACAACAAACGCACCTCCCTCTACTATAACAAGATTTAAGGAAGAATGTGCAATTCAACCCCGCTCTGCCGTTAACTGTAGAACAGAAAATTAATTCCATTTATCATCTGAATTTTACTAACCTCTCTTTTTAAGCAAGACAGCAATGTGACAGTGCTATGATAGAAATACAATTCAGAAGACAAATGTTGAGCAGGCATTCACAAAAATAAGCCTGCCTTGTTAATTACTTCCTAATAAACTTTATTGACAGCATTGCATATCAAAAATATGAATTATCTAGAAACCAAATAATATTGCCCTTTCTATCTGCTCAAACCACCTAAGAGCTAGTTTTGAGGATCTTCAAAGTGAAACGCTGCAGGTATAAAAACTGCATCTCAACTTCTTCAAATTGAAGGCGGTGTGATGTTCTATAGCTATTCAAGCTAATTTAGGACTGGGCTGTCTCAGTCTCACCCTCCTGTTTCTTCTCACCTCCATTTCTTGTGCAACATTAAATGGTGCCAAGGCAATTGCAAAGTACGCTACTGCAGAGGGCAGATCAGAAGAAAATAAAACAAGGGTTGGAGGTAAAGGGAAGAGAAGGGGAAGTCATCAGGACCCTTACCTCGCTAACTGATCATGTGAGTACTGATACCTACATACGGGAGGGAAAGGGAACACGGAGCCAAGAACAACCACTAATGCCCTGACTTACAGATCCATACGCCCAAACATGATACATTCAGGGAACCGTAACTAGAGGTTGCCACACTAGCAATTACCAAGAAACTCTGATCCTAGGTTTCAGAGAAGTTTAATGCTAAAGAGCTTTAAACAGCTACTCAAAAAAGTTTTAACCATTCTCCTTTAAATGGTTTTACTGTTTTTAAGAAAGAGTAAGTGAATGAATGAGAGAGAATTTTGAATTATTATTCTATGTTTTGCACACTAAAGAAAAAATTGGGACCAGATAGGATGCATCCAGAGGTCCTGAAAAAACTAGCTGATACTTTTTCAAGGCTACTCTCTATCATCTTTAAAAGGTCATGGAGATTAGAGGAAGTCTCTTCTAACTGGAGAAAGACAAATGTCATACCCCGCTTTCAAAAGGGCAAGAAGGATGACTTGAGGAACAACAGGTAGGTCAGCTTCACTTCAGTTGCTAAGAAATTCATAGAGCAAGTCCTTCTGGAAGGCACTTCTAGACACACGAAGGAAAAAACAGGGACTAGGAATAGCCAGCCTTTACCAAGGTTGTTTTTTTTTTTTTTTTAAAAAAAAAAGCCTAATAAGCCCAACTTCCTTCTACAATAAAATTACTAGAATCTGTGCATAAGGAGAGAGTGGTAGGTATCAAAGCTGGGTCGTTACAATCCAAATGGGTGGACCACTAGATGGATGAAAAACTGGCTGGGTCACCGAGCTCAGAAGTTGAAGTTCAGTGGTTAGTGACACTGGAGGTTGGTTAAAAGCAAAGTTTCTCAGAGGTCTGTACTGAGACTAACTTACGTGTCTAATATTTTTCCTCATCAGTGACCAGAGATGAAGACAGAATGTACCCTTATCAGTTTAGAGAATGACACCAAATTTGGGGGGGAATGACAGGACCAACAACCACAGAGACAGAATTTTTTTTTGAATTTCATTAAATTCAACAACAAGTGCAAAGTCCTGTACTTTGGACAGAAAAATCCCTGGCACTGATACAGACTAGGGAACAACTGGCAGGGCTGCAGCTCTACAGAGAAGAACATGTGGGTCCTGATAGAGAGCAAGCTAAACATGAATAAGCAGAGCACTCTTGCAACCATGAAGCCTAACAGCATACTACACTGGATCAACAAAAGCCTAGCCAGTAGCCTGAGGAAAACAATTGTTTCCCTTTACTCAGCACTCATTAGACCACATCTGGAATACTGCAACCCATTTGGGGCCCAGTAGTACATGAAAAAATTATAAACTTGAGTGAGCCCAGCAAAGATCCACCAAGAGGGCCCACGAAAAGGGCTGTAGCACAAGACTTGTGAGGACAGGCTGAGGATTTTAGAGTAGAAGAAACTTAGTATGCACCTTGTAGCAGCTTTCCAGTATCTATGAGGAGGTCCTTACGAAAACAGAGCCAGGTTCTCTTCTGAGATGCAACGCAAGGAAAAAGGAGTCCTCAATTGTCAGACTGAAACAGCGGAGGTTTGACATGAAATAAGGAGGTGGGGGGAGGGGG